CAGGGTATGGCTGCATGTTGCATATGTGCTTCGGCAGACTCGCCCTGCGACCGGACGGTGACATGTCTTCGGCCATACGGCCTTACTTTGAACGCGGCAGGATCCCACTTCTTCTTTTCTGATATCACTTGCTTAATTGGCGCAAGCGGAACGGCGTTTGCTTGGTGCATACTGTGTAGTCTTGGGTGGCCTCTGATTTGCGCTACATGTGCTTTTTTTTTGAATTTTAGGTTTCGTCTGTGGGTGGATGAGAGCTGTCCATTGCTTTCTCAGCGAGTGGGAGGAAGACAAGTGTTCTGTGCAAACAGACGTGTACTACTACGATTGAGTTTGGGGACGAGTACAATGCAAAAGCACAATACTGAATACCTACTACGTGTCGTCTCGATTGAAATGTGACTCGATAATAAAAGGTAATGGAGCCTTACAATGCCGCTACGGAGGAGTGACCGAGCTCGCTTACGAACCTTCCTCTTTTGGCGTGCAGATGTCATTACCCCCATGAAGAAGGTGCAACCATAATCCGTGACTACCATGTGTGACAGCGGTTTGTAGGTGGTACAGTATGGTAGGTAATGGATTGCAGTGTAGAATAACCTGAAGCAATGCGTGCATTTTAGTTCTTCAACCAAAATCAATAACCCCAGGATCCGATTAACAGTTGCAGGTAGTGCACTTACTTGTCGGGCACACCCCCCTCATGCACCCCACAGCCGGTTAAGGCAACGATACCCGCGCAGCGCTGCAAGACAGACTGACATGCATTGGGCCAACTTGCACAAAGAGATAACGATACGCAATCCGACAGGCCGACAGCAACCGGTCAATCTTCGAACACGGGTTAGGCAAAGTGGCCGCTGCAGCCCCGTGTGGTCATCTTTACATGCAAGTGTAATCATGACTGACTGCCTCGCTGACCGCGGCATCCAAGCTGAGCGTTGCGAGATGACATGGGGGTCGTCTTTTATGACGGCCGGTTTGTATGCACTTGGATGCGATAAGGGCAAGGTAATACGGTAGCTGGGTTAGTTAATGACAGTGTCCTTCCAGAAAAGAGACTGCGTGGGGCGCTACCAGGCAAAGGCGGAGTCGGCCAATCGGGGCGTGTGGTATGTAGCAAGATGATCTAGCAGCAGAGCCCGCGTGCGCGCCCAGGTGTCGTGCAGCAGGCCGACCAGGGTTGACATGTCCATGCTGGATGACTTTGCGATCAGCGACGTGGAGGGCGCGGGCTGCCGCTGCGAGGCTCTGGCGGTGCATGTGCTGCGTGGCCTTGCGGTCGGCCAGTCTCAGCCGCGATAATAAATCCTGTCGTCTCAATGGTGCCTGGATGCAAACGCCGCCCGTGGCCCATGCGACACAGCAGCCATCTCGCCCACGCGACTGTCCGACTGCCCTTCTTATTACTTATCGCCTGCCGATAACCCTGAGGTGCCGGTCCGTCATATCCCCCAGAGACACCCTTATCGCCCGCAACTCCCTACCTGACCATCTACTCCCTCCGACCCCTCCTTCACCTTCGTCTTCCATATTCCTTGCACTTCATCACCTCTAAATACTATTGTATTATATTTACATGCACGCAGTGCGTCCCGGCCACGTTCGGCATCTGGACCCTGCAGGCCTAATGTTGCTTGATCGATCCTTCCATCCAATCCCGCAACGGCAATAACGTAAAAGCAATCGGGCAACGCGCTCCGGAACGTCACAAAACGCCTTACCGTACCTGAGCGACCCAAACTGTTAGTCACGGGCAGAGCACCCTTGGGGCTTCCCTGTCAATCATGATGTACTCGCCAAGGTCCTTCCCTTACCTGCAACAGTCTCCCCCGTCATCTCGCAGCACCTCTGAGAAGATGGGCACGCGGACTGCCAGGAACAGCCCGACTGCGCGCACTGTGAAACCCATGGAGCGACCAGATATCAGCAATACTCGGTCCATCTCGAATCCGGAACCCACGCCGGTGCAGCCTCCTACCTCGAATATGCTCGCACACTCACAGCCCGTTGTCATTCCACCTCGTATGCCTGCACGTTCAGCGACCTCCTCTCAGACAGTGAGAGCAAGAGGCCACAATGGTGGCAGGCCAATCCGCGCACCGAAAAGCCACGATGCGAATGCTATTCCCCCGGCCGTCGCCGCCTTGCTGGCTGTTACCGCGATTCCCAAGATGCCACCGCGACGACGCAAGCAGTCTACAATGGACAGGAGAATATCCATGGACGAGTTGATTCATGAGTGGAAACAGGACGACTCAGACGTTGCGCCTTCGATTGTGGGTTCGCCCATGGATTTACTGCTGGGTCGTGTGGACGAGTCGGAAGACGAGTATGGAAGCCTGGTGAGCATGGAGCAAGAGAAGGAGTCTTTCATCACCTCCCGGTCTATTTCGAGCGAGTCAATCTCAACTATACCGCCATCTTTGGACTTTGATGATCCGTCATTTTCCTCGCATTGGGACAATCTAAGCACACCGGATTCACTCAGCCGCAAGTCATTGACGGAGCGCAAAGAGAAGGTGGTTTCGTCACCACCAAAGGAAGACTGTGTTCTGGATCATCCACTACTTCATTTTGGCCCAGAGGAATGTGAGGAGATTATTACAACGGATGTCATCGACAATCTTGCTTCCACACCTTCCTCAGCTGAGCGATTCAAGTCATTCAAGTCCAACTTGACTGCATCACTTCAGGCGCTCAGATCGGCTGCCAAATCATTCTCCAACTTTACAGCTCCCAGTGTTCCACCGGATGATTTCCTTACCCGGTCATTACTGTCACCAAAGTTTACCAGTGAGATGCGCCCTAAGCATCTCGAAGGCCTACCATCCCCCGAACTCCGACGATACCTGAACCCGCAGCCAGCCCCGATCTCACCAACAGAGTTATCCATGCATCTTCACGACTCTCTCACTCTAGACGCTGATGCCGACACCAACGCGCCTATGATCCAAATGCAAACCTACGAACGCCGCGGCCGCTCGCAGAAATCGCGTCGCTCTCGCACCTCTGACCCGTTCTCGGAAGCTGGAAGAGCCTTATCAAACGAACCTACTGTCCGCCAACGCGAGCCAAGAGAAAACAGCAATTTCCTTAGAGTTATTGTTCTGGAGATGAACATGCGCCGAATCGGCAAGCTCGATTCTAAGGCCGTCGGCAAGGCTAGGATCTGGCTGCCGCCAAGAAAATTAGGGACCAGCAAAGCAGGCTCCGCTCACGGTGCAGACGGAGTCCCTGAGCGATGGATTGGCGTTGCTGCGGAATAGATGCACTGTCAAGCCATCTTTAGGCTTCAATGACCGTTGGGCATACACGCAGCAAAGCAGCAAAGGACCCTCGGTACGTTCGCACACGACACCTCGACACGACTGGTACATGCGACATACGTAGCGCAAGTCAATCCACGAACCAGATTTGACGTCAACGGCGTGGATACCTTGAGTCGATCGCGGATTGGACATTTCCGGTGGACGCATGACCTAGCGGTTGTTGGCGGCGTAACTAGCGTCGCGGAATTACCTAGAGTGTAGGGACCAAGTTTGTTAATGTCGTCGCTTGAGGCATAGTCCGCACTATGACCGTTAACCTGGAGTACCCTCTCTGGATGCGACACGCGCCGCAAATCTAGAACAAGGCTCGCCTGACTGGACGAAGCCATCTAGAAGCCTTTGCGAAATGCATCCTTCTCGGATACGACGGCATGCATCACGGACGTCGGCGACGCACAGTTAGGCGAAATCCTCACACCGACACCGCAACCTATTTGTCCTCCATGCGGCACTCCGAACATGTGAATCATGGTTCCTGCATAGTAAGGCTGGAAGAGCCTACAAGGTCCTCCTCATTGCGGCAACCCAGAGCGCGCGGAACCGACCTGCCGGTACTCGCCGACGCCAGACAAGTGGGGGCAAGACTGTTACAAGTTTGCATCAAGCAATTGGCCAGCTCAGCAAGGCAGAGAGGAGCATCAGAACTCGTCAGAGTCCACCATGGTGGGGGATCTACGGTAGCGACATCGGCAAACCGGCTGCATCCGAGGAGTGGGAGTAGATGAGCATATTAATTTTTTGTTGCCTGCTTCATGCGCGAACTTAGCAGCAAGCGAACGAGCAGGAGTTTGGAACATTTTGACGAGGCACGCGAGCAAAAAGACGGTCAAGCGCTGACCGCTTCGCAATTTTTTGGGATATTGAGCTTCGAAGTTTCGAAACTGCATTGGGCTGCATTGCATGGACGCATATTTTCCCCCTCTCTCTCTCCTTTTTTTCTACGTTTTAGCGAAGGGTTTATTTTCTCTGCACTGCATTGCATACGAATGAAGAGACGGGCGGAAGGACGCACGGACTTCACAATCATACCTGCATATTTACAACACTCTACTTACACCACCTTCCTATTTCTACACTTACATAAATCTCAGACTGCATCCTAGATTGTGTATGCACGAACGGAATGATATATAAACAATTGAAAGAATATATATAAACACCTGGTTTGACATTGTGTGACTCTGGGGCTTGCTTCATGTTTTGTTGATGGAGATACCTATCACTGAATAAGAACGCGCCTATTCAAACGCAAATGATCATGGTCTCGAAGGATGACTTGCAGTTATTAAGATATCGTTTCAGAGAGTCGCGCGTCGTGTATACATCCATCACAACATTAAACATGCACGAACAGAACAGTGCTTCATGCGTGCTAATAAGTCCAGGGGACGAAATATTCTGCCTCTACCTCTAGTGGTTACTCACAAGCCTCCTCTATGAGAAGTAAGCAATCAAATACAACGTAAATGAGTAAATCTACGGTCCAAAAAATATCGGGACAAGAGACGTGTAGATAGATAGACAACGAGGGGTAAAAAATGGTGGTAGTAGAGTAATGTGTTACGCCACCATGAAGGAATATTCCACACGCACTGGTTGGTTGGTACAACCCAAAACAAAAAAAACTCACTCCAAACCAACCACACATGGCCAAAAAAGAAAATTATGATGTGACCTAACCAGGGGTCGAACCTGGAATCTCTTGATTTCGGATTGAGGGAATCGTAGTCAAGCGCCTTGCCATTGGGCCATTAGGCCGTTGTTGTACAACTTTGATGGAGGATTTGTCCAATTATCAAATTATATACAAAATCCAAAAATCATGCGGCGCTGAGCTAAGGGGGGCTTTTGCATTTCGGTTGATCGCAGATGTTGATTTTGGTTTGATTTGAAGAATTTTTTCCGGGGGCAGTGAGGGGTGGGAGGCGAGGGATCAGATGGTTAGCGCGTTGGAGGAGGGGTTGCGTCACTTCCGCTCTTTTCCGCTCTGCCGATGCTACATGTATGTTCCTCTTGTGCCCTTTGATTGCTAGGCAGCAAAGTCATCATAATGAATATCGAAGCTAGGTGAGTACGCGATTGAACTCTTTGAGTGGCCATATCGCTCTCATAACACCCGCAAGCTCGACGAACATAATTTCACATTACAGTGTTGTGGGTGTAGATCTATCTGCATGATATACAGACACGGACATGATGCAGTACTCGGCGAGACGAGCATGCAGTCATGCAATATGCAATCCGAGTGAATGGATGGAGACACTATGATCCCGCGCCTGCTTCCGCACCTACAGGGCCAAGGACAGTACTCCGGAGATCCATTCAGCTGACTGAACACGCTTGGAAATGTAACCCATTTCTCTTAGTTCTTCGTTCCTGTGCCTGCCCTGTAGTCTACCCCTTGGGAATTCCACGTTGTTTGTCCGTCATTAGAAAGCCAAAGGACGACTGAGTGGTGCGAGAGGCCGCTGGTACGCGGAAAACTCTATCCAAGGTCCGATCTATGTAATGGGCATTGTGAACCTAGATGATGATGCTGGACTAGTATACGAAGAGAGTACTTGGCATCTCTCAGCCGCTTCCGAAGACTGGACCTCCTTATACGGGAGACACTCATCTTACTGCGAAGAGGCCGAGATCAGGTCTTGCAACGAATCCACAGCGATGAAAATAGCCATACCTCCCGTGTGTTCATCAAGACAGCAAATGGCTGATGCACATTCTTGGCCTTCCGCACCTGGATCGTCCATTTTCCACACCAGGTGCTCGGCGTTGTCAAAAGAACGACCATTCGGAAGCATCATGCCTCTATAAACCTCGTCAGAATTCCTTGGAAGTATTGATGGCGGACGCCGACTTCATGTGACTGGGTGGGGTGAGTGCAGCAATCCCGTCATGGCACTCCGGTGAAATTTGAGGACCAGTGGAAATTACCTCGTGCTTTTCTGGACTGTAGGAAGACAATTCTAGGTGCCTGCCATGGCGGACAATGTCGAGAAGTCCGACTCACCCGTGGTATACAAGCGAACGAGGTGCTCAGGTAGGCTTATGTGTTTTAGCTGAAGATGAGTATATATCGACTCGCTCTGCCCGTCAACAACCAGCACATCAGCTGCTTCTTCGCCATTCACGTTCGAACCTGGGAAAAGATGTATCATCCTTCGAAACTTGCTTTGCTACTTTCGTTGGCCTCTATAGGCTCGGCTCAGGTTCCCAATATCATTCCTTTTGCGGTCACTGGCTCACTTGATGGGTAAGCTCTCAAGCATAAACAAGACGAACTAATGCTCACATCTACTAGCTGCAATGTTGAGGGTACACAGTATAATGCTGGCGGCGGGATCAACGTCAACAACTTCAACGTCAAAGTTCCCAAGAATTTGATCGTCCAGTTTCCAGTTGTGTGGGCGCCTTTCAGCGAGCTATGTGGCGCTGAAGCAGGCGGTTACGAAACCACTGTCGTTGGTAACATAGTCAATGGCGAAGTTATCGCCGGACAAGTCTCAGTCGCTCAGAGATTTGGCCTCGAAGGCAGTCAGGGGTACATTTCAGCCATCAACCCCGACGGTACACTCCAGATTGCGTCAGGCCCAAGAGTCAGGATCAATGACCCTGACGGTCTTTTTGGACCCAAGACTGATACGCGGAAGTACTGGATTGCCGATACCACTAATCCATCTGTCACTTCATTTTCCGGGTTTCCTATGTGCATCCCGTATTCTGGTAATACCGAAAAGTGCAAGGACCCAAATCGTCCCAATGGTCCAACTTTCAGCCCGACTGATCCTCTTAGCATGGTTCCATTCAAGGTCGGTGATTTCATCGAGTACAGTGGCCTTCTATCCGAAAGCAACGAGGTCCTGGCTTCCTCCATCGTCTGCATAAACCTCCATATCACAACTCAAGCTGGCGACAACATTCCAAATTACATCAGAGTCGAAGCTTTCCTCGTTGGAGTTCCGGACACCGCCGCCAACGTTGAGGTCGCAGATATTCGCGCCATAGGATATCTTTCAAGTTGTGCTGGCTCCACGGTCACAATTAGCGCTATCGAAGTCGATCCTTGCACTGGGATCGAGTCATATCGCTCTATTGGTACTGTCGCTCCCAGGCAAGAGCTTCGCTGCAAGTGGGAAGCTCGTATTGCTTCACCTGCACAAGCACCGTTCACTCGCGAATACCGCATCACTACCAACACGCCAGTCAAGGAGACTAACGATGGTATTAAGGCTGGACAGTACATCCAACCTGTCACCGAATGGATCTTCCCTGAAGTCAATGTACCAGGGACCAACCCGCCACCCTTCCCATTTACTGGCATCCGCGGTCTTGTTCAGGGCGATTTCCTCGATGGGAGGCAGTACGGTCCACTCAGTCCATTTCCTGGACCAGATCCGCCCGCTCCATTCAAGACGTGCAACCCTGAAGATATTCCAGATCCAAACGCAACGCCTACGGCTGACCCTAACACGCCGCAAAGCGCCCCTGAAGCCGCCATCGTAGGCTTCGCTTCCGCCCAGCGCATTGGTACTGACGTCTTCCTCAGAGGCTCCAATAGCGCGACAAGTCTAAACGACAACGAACTGAACTTCAATTGGACCAAGACCTCGCCTTCCTCGCCCTCCATTAGCATCACAAACGCCAACTCCCCTACGGCAACCTTCACCGCGCCCAAAGTGACAACCGAAACATCCTTCATCTTCGAACTCACCATCAGCCTGAAATCCAACGTCACAAACTCCAGCAAGGCAAACGTCACAGTCTTAATCAACCCAACAATCGCCGACAACGTCACCATGGACACGTATACCTGGGAGTCTCGCCAGTCTGGCACCATTGCGGTGACTTGTAGCTCTAATGTCAAAAATGGCGATAACAAGGGTATGTCGTTGGTTTTGAATGGCAGTGCGAGACTGGCTATGACGAAGAGCGGGGGAGAGGGTAGGTGGCTGTATAGTGCGAGGAGTACGGCTAGACCGAACAGTTTGAAGTGTGTTTCTGATCTTGGGGGTGAGAGTGCGTTGAGGCTGGGTACGGCGACTACTCGGAGGAGGAGGGCTCTCATGTGGTGAGGAAGGGGATGGACGGGGACATATGGACGCTACAATATTCATTTGTAGATACTTTACTCTCTTCTTTGGTGTATATACTTGAATGTCCATTCAGATCTGGACATGGGAGGCAATTATTTGATTTGGAGAGACGTTCGCAGTTTACCTGATTTACCTGATAGAGATGGCAAGAGAAGTTGGGCGATTTGACGATCATGAAGTGATCTGGATGTTCTGGTTCATCTCGAATAGGGTGCACGTTGCGGTCGAAGCGATATAGTCCTCGCATGCAGAGCAAATAGGAGAAACGAGTCTGCTTCTTTCATATGGACCATTTTTTCACGGTGCCGACCACGCAAAGATTTGAGACCCGCCGTGTGTCCGGACTAAGCGTAGTCCAACGGTCCCAAATCTCCATATAGCTTCTTATGGGACAATTGGGCACGTTGTTTGAATGACGCTCATTCCATCAGTCATCGAAAGATAGTACTTTCTTCGCATCTTGAAAACCGAAGATTACAGTCCGGGAATATCGCGCCCTCGCAATGGTGTTGAGAATGGGCTCCAAGCACGCAGCCAATGAGGCAGCGCGAGAACGCACAGACCCTCGCTTAGCCCGCACCCGAGGATCGCCCGTTCAATATTGAAATCTGTAGCCGCAACTTCGACATCGTGAACGACAGCGCCAACGTACGACCAACGACCCTCCGACGACCAGTCCATACTGTCAGTAATACTCCTCGGCTACCGTCTAATATTTCTCAGCGCCGGAATACTGACTCCCTGCGCAGTCGCGACACCGCAACCCCCAACCACAAACCACACAACATGTCTCACGAGTCGGTCTGGTATTCGCGTCCTAGGACCTACGGAAAGGGTTCCCGCGAGTGGTACGTCTTACAATCGATAGAAATGTTTTTGGTGTCCGGGAGTGTTTGAGAGATGGAGGATATGCGGTCTGCGCGTATAAGGGCACAACGGTGGACAACATGGTGGACAACAAGGTGCCTTTGAATGCCTGCTGACACACTACCTACAGCCGCGTCTGCACCCACCCTGCTGGTCTGATCCGCAAGTACGGCCTCAACATCTGCCGTCAGTGCTTCCGCGAGAAGAGCGCCGACATTGGTTTCGTCAAGGTACGATAGCCTCCAATCCTGAGCAATGCACGACTTGCCTGCACAGCGATGGAAAATTTCAAAGCACGATGGAGATAAAGGCATACTGACGTTGTGTTAGCACCGATAAATTCCCTACGATTCAACGGCCGGAGTAGAGGTGGCGCAACGGTGTGACGCGATGATTACCTGACGATACGAATCGACTCGACTCCTACCCGAGCGAACATCGATATGTGATGAGAGGAGTGGAGAGATTTTTCAGGACAGGGGAATGGTTCTGCATGGCTTTCCTAGGGATCATTTCCGTATATTCATGGTCGAGGGGAGGTGTCTGGCTTTGATAACCAAAAATCAAACTGAGTTCACGACATATCGCGCCGCTTGGTACATGACGGATTCTGAGGGATTGTGGAAGTGATGCACAGTGGTTATATGCTGACATCGCAGACGATCGTTCGAAGGCAATGAGATTCATGCCTAGCTTCAAGCGCAAGATGCGACCAGTCCGACACTCTATGCTGCGATCTCACGAAGGGCTTGAAAAGAGTTCCTGGCTAAGTCATACAGCACATACAATGCGGTCCTA